CTCTCTCTCTCTCTCTCTCTCTCTCTCTCTCTCTCTCTCTCTCTCTCTCTCCCTCTCTCTCCATTTTCCTTTGCCTCCCCTTCTCCTCGATCTTTCCCTCTCCTCATCCATCTCCACCTCTCTTTCCCTCTTCCTCCCTCCATCATTTCTACATACCCTGTTTATCCCTTCTCTTTCTCTTTCTCTCTTTCTCTCTACCTATCTATCTATCTTTATCTCTCTTGCTCACTCGCTCTCTCTCACTCTCTCTATCCCTCACTCCCTCAGACACTCAAAGACTTACCCCAAGAGCTCGACACAAGCACCTGAGGACAGAAGAAAAGGTCAAGTTTATCAAGGTCATCTGTTGTTGTTGGTTTGTTGTTGTTTTTTAATTGGTTGGGGGGGGGGGGTCAAAGGGTTCGTGGGTGGGATGGGGGTGGGTGAAGGGGGAATGCAGTTGTAGTAGCAATGTTTTAACAGTAGAGTAAAACAATTTTCGGAACGCCGACAGATCAGTTCAAATTCACTGGCAGCACTTTTGATGGAGTAAATAACATTTCAGATACGTCATGAAAAGTTCTGACTCCACTTTCATTAAAAAGGAGACTTTTGCATGAACGTTGAGGCGGAATGGAGTGGGGTGGGGGGAAAGTCTACACTACACACAGGCTGTGGAATGAACAGACAGAAAAGGCTTAGACAAAAGGCAAAGAAAACCAACGGAAACATTTATTACGATGATACAATACAACAATTTGACATTGCAGTAGCAGAAACATCGACAGTTTTAGGTAAACGTCTCGTTGAGATCCTTATGATATTGTTAAAAATAGGTAAAGGCAGTTTAATCCCCCAAAACTGAATAGTGTACCACATTACTGAGAGCCACATGTGGCCCCACAGGGACTGAAGAATTCAGATAGGCGTAGAAGGTCAAGTAAGGTCCAAAAGAAAGGCTCAAGAAAACTTTCATTCATCTTCTTTTTTTTTGGGGGGGGGGGGGTTGTCAGTTTGCTAGTGTTTTAGCGGCTGCTTACACTATTGTTATGTTTCTCAGGAAGCTGGAAATGTTTCTAAGGTCTGCTGGGGGTAATGATATAGATTGTAGGACAAATATATGGTTTGCTGTTGAGCGGGAATATGTCATCATCAATGCCTTTCCCCCCTGGCAGGGTGCAGGCCACATACACGCTCCTTCTGTTTATCTCTGTCATGGGCCATTCTGCCAAACTCGTTCTAAGTGAGCTTCATCTCCTTTTCCACGCATCTCCTCCATGTTTCCCGTGGCCTACTCCCTGTGGGTTCCACGGCAGTGACTGTCTTGTGATGTTTCCGCTGGGCTTTCTTTAGGTGTGTCCCATCCATCGCACCTTTCTTAGTCCTATTTCTACTTCTATATCCTTTTGTCCTGTCCTTTCCCACAGCTCTTCATTTCTCATTCTATCCTGCCACTTAATTCTTAGAATACTCTTCATACGTTTATTGATGAAAGTCTGGACTTTATTCAATACTGTCTTTGTTGTCTTCCAAGTTTCGCAGCCGTAGAGGCTTCTTCTTATGATTATGATTATGATTATCATTTTAATATTGTTGTTATTTTTATCATCATCATCATCATCATCATAATCATTATTATTATTATTATTATTATTATTATTATTATTATTATTATTATTATTATTATTATTATTATTATTATTATTATTATTATATTATTATTATTTTCTATCACAGCCGCTATCAAAAACATCTACAATAGAACCCATCAGAGTTCACTAACCCGAGTTCCTCCCATGTGAAGTAGTCCTTGCTGGCAGGGTACTGTAAGTGGAACATCGTCATGATGACCTTTTGACCCCTGGTCCCAGCTGTCTGTTCGGTAAAGCTGCAGTCTACCAGAGTCACATCCTGCAGAACATAATTAATGATGATGATAATAATAATAATAGTAATAATGATAATAATAATAATAATAGTAATAAAATAATAATAATTATAATAATAATGATAATGATAATAATAATAATAATAATAATAATAATAATAATAATAATAATAATAATAATAATAATAATAATAATAATAATAGTAACAGTAACAATAATGATAATGATAATGATTATAATAATAATAATAATAATAATATATAATTATAGCGA